CTCCGGGGGGTGAACAAAGGCCTCCTGTAGCAAATCGATGCGTTTTTGTAAGAAAAATATCCATATTCACAACGCAATAATCACTTTAATCTAGCTTGCGCCAACAGCTGTACACAGAAGCAGTTCCGGGGGAATGACGTATGAGGACACACACACACACACACACACACACATACACACACACACACAGGGTCCCAAAAGGGGTTTTTCAAACCATTTTTGTTTCCCCAAAGAACCATTTTAAGTAAACAATTCTTAATTCTTAACATTTTTATAATCTGAACCTTTTACAATCAATGGAAAGTTTCCATGGATGTTACAGGTTCTTTATGGAACCATCAGTAATGCCAATAAACAACTTTTATTTTGAACTCACAGCAGAATGGCCCATATATATTGTTGGAAGTTGTGGCCTAATGGTTAGAGAGTCGGACTCGTAACCCAAAGGTTGTGGGTTCGAGTCCCGTACCGGCAGGGATTGTAGGGGGGGGGGGTGAATGTACAGCTCTCTCTCCCACCTTCAATACCACGACTGAGGTGTCCTTGGGCAAGGCACCGAACCCCCAACTGCTCCCCGGGCGCCACAGCAAAAATGGCTGCCCACTGCTCCGGGTGTGTGTGTGTGTTCACTGCTGTGTGTGTGCACTTTGGATGGGTAAATGCAGAGCACTAATTCCGAGTATGGGCCACCATACTTGGCCACGTCACGTCACGAATAAACATATATATTTCCATGATATCTCCCAAAAAGAGGTTAAATTAATCAATTTCATGTGCTGTTAAATTTCATGTGTCACCTCTGGACAGATTGAACACACAAAAAAAGAACGCTCACACACAATCTGCTCAGCTCTAATCCTGTTACAACCCAACACCAAAACACATTACTCTCTCTGTGTGTGTGTGTGTGTGTGTGTGTGTGATCTATCGTATTTCTCTGAATTTTCTCCAAATTGTGAGTGTTTCCTCTATATACTGTAAACTGTATTATACATTTTAATCTCTATGAAGTATTATAGTCTGAGGACAGGTTGGTGACAATGTAATGTTATTATTTGATAATACAAAGAGGAAATAAAAGTATTTATGTTGCATTGTTGTGGTCATCTCTAATTAATTTGAGTGGAAATGTTGCTATTTATCTATTTTAACTAATAGCATGTAAATTTGTGATGTTTTGTCCAATGTCTCCGGAATCAGTGTTATGTCCATAAACAAGCAGTTTAATTTCCCCTGCCTTGCCAAAAGCCTCTGAGATGCCCTTCCTACACACACACGCCCCCTAATTACATTACAGCTCTTGGCTGTTTCTCAGCTTTCATCACGGTCTCACACCTGTTACCTAGTTTCTCATCTGTGTCTCATCCTCGTCCACTCATTCTCTCATTTTCCTTCTGCTTTCTTTCAGCTGCTCTTTGTTTCCATCAGCATAAAACAAATAGTCCTTGTGAATTGCATGATGACACCAGCACATCTGAACACAGCCCCAGACATTAAGTGTGGATCTTTGATGCTTTGATCCATACAGAAGATAAATGATTCATATTTTCAAAAGACCTCAAATCTGAATCATGCACAATAGAAATGAATCCATGACCTTATGAATATCACATCCATCCATTAGTACACAGGCGTTTTAAAATGCATTATGCCGCAGACGGGATGAGAGAGAGAGAGAGAGAGAGAGAGAGGGGAGGGGGGCATTTATGGAAGAATGTAAAGGAGAGTAGCTTTATTTGATTTAAAATAAAATTGGATATTGTCTGTTTCCTGTGATTCATTACAATTATAGTTGTTTATTTTAATGATGTTATTTGTATTGCCATTACTGGAAACCTTTTTTTTCTTTTTCTTATTTTTTGTGCATATTGAGGCTTTGTGAACATAATTTAATGAGAAAATGTAACTAATTTACGATGCCGAATTGGTTGTGAATTTAATTGAAATTACACAATTTGAGTAATGCAATTCGTAAATATTTTACATTTTTGCGAATTGGTTACTAATTCTTGCAATTTGTACAATTTCATTAGTATGATTTTTGTACGACTGATGGTGAGGTTTAGGGGTGGAATTTCATGCTTAGCTACTGTTTTTTTTTTCTAAAAATCGTACATTTCGTACAATGTAAATACAATGTGAGTAAATTTTCGTATGAGGTTTCATACAAAATCACCACCTCATCAAATAATTTCTCAATCACAACAATGTACTTTTAAAATGTATAACCTGTCCATAGAGAAAAAATATGTGGATGAGGAAGTAAAAAAAAAAAGTGACGTGGAATGATTTGGATGACTTTTCAGAATCTTTTTTTCGTATTTTACTTTTATTATTAAATTATTTTAAAATATATTAATTCATTTAATTATTTAAATGTACTTGCACACCTGTTTTTTTTTTTTTTTTTACAAAAAATATCTATGGTAATTGAAAATTCACATAAATGTATGATTCTTTTTTCTCAGTGTTTTCAAATCCAATTTCAGTTGTTCAGTTTGACTATTTTCTGTGTAATAGTGATAAAACATACTTTTATCCTGCTAATAAAGCTGTCTGAATTCAATGCATTTTAAATAGGACATTAATAACTTGCTTTAAAAAAACGGAGAGAGAAAGAGATGCATAGAGAGGACAGAATCTAAAGCAGACAAACAGAAAAAGCAGAGGGGAGAGAAAGAGTGCAAGGAGAGAGAAAATGTGTGTGTGTGCGAGAGTGGCTGGAGGATGTAGATTTCTGTTGCATCCTAAACTATTCCTCTAGTCAGCATGAGCACTAGTGTGTGCGTGTGCGTGTGTGTGTGTGTGTGTGTGTGTGTGTGTGTGTGGCTTCACAGGGCGTTAATGTCTTTGTGTGCCTGTCTCTCCCCCTCTCTCTCTCTGCGCTGCAGTGGGGGAGTTTATTCAGCGGCTCACACGAGGGGACGAGACAGCAGCAACCTCCCCTCACCTGCCTGCTCGCCCCTCTCCCATCCTCCTCTCCTCCATCACAGCGATGCTGCTCTGAACAGGACCAGAAATTCATCCCAAAGCTGGAGGGACTGATCCAGTTTGGTGGCTTTTTTCCATAAACACTGCTTAAGGATTTTTCGGGAAAAGAAACATGCCAGTATGGAGTACTCAAATCCTGGCCAAACAAAAGGACGCAGCACTCTTGGGAGGAAGAAGAGAGAGAAAGAGGGATGACACGCCTCTCCCTCATACCTGACTTTCTTTCTTTGAGAGTATGATGCTCTTTTTTGTTTTTCACGTCCCACGGCTTTGACACACTTGTGGTGACTGAAAGGTGTGTTTATGTAGGATGCTGTCTAGTTGAGGAATACTTTTGAGACTGTTGCATTATTTTTTTTTCCTGAAATCGTTCCCTCTAAGTCTTGCACACACTCTCTGAGGTTGTTTCAGATGAAATACGCCAATCTTCCGTGTTTGCATGAGTGTGTGTGTGGTAACGTTTGACCCGTCTGTGTATGTGGGCGTACGAGGGCGACGCCTGTTAGCGTCTCAGTCTGTCTGGCACGTTACTGCAGCATGAATGGCTAGCCTGCAATCTCAAACAGCGGGGTGCGTGAAACAACACCAGCCCTTTGACATTTTAATGAGGTTAAAGCTGTCAAGCGTGTTCATGTCAGAAACTGGTTGGTTTGAGAGCCAACATTTGGACAAATAGTTCTGTTAAAACAAATAGTAGTTTAATAATGAGCAGTGCTTAAGTCGAAGCTTTTTTGGCGATAGAGTTTTGGACTTTTTCCTCAGAAACTAAGCAAGAAGTGATGAGAAAGTGTTAAGTAGACAGAAGGAGGAAAGAAAAAGCGAAGTAGCTACACACTTTTTTTTTTGTAAAGACTGCTGCCTCAGATTTGAGCCCACAATTGGATGAATATTTATACGCACCTTCGGACAGCTCAGCTTTCTAACAAAGTGTGCTTGCAGAACCACAAAGCATTTGTTCAACCGAATGTCTGATAATTTCGCAACCCACTGAGCTCCAAAGGCACCCAACTGGTATCTTATTAAGAAAGATATTGATTTCTATTTTACAGAGCGCCAGTGATCACTATTAAGGGCTTGCGTTATTTAATTGAATTTTCCTTCATTGACCTAAATTTTAGCTGTTGAGGAATTGAGTTAATAATAACCGTGATGCACAGAGCTTTATTACAAAATAAATATAAATGCATAATAGTTGTTCTTTTTCGAAACAAAAGTTCAATGTATATGAAGCCGCTCCTTCGAATGCATCCTGCTTAGTCGGATCTGGTGGCATTTGGTGTCCTGAGCGAGTTTAAAGTGTCACAGATGGGCGGCCAGTCGAGTGAAGAATGTTTGCTGTTGTTCGCACCTAAGCAGAAGCGTTTAACATGTGTATGTAGGAGTGCGTGGGATTGAATTTTCCTCAAGCGTACTGACTCTCTCACCTCACGCTTTCATGGGCAACCAGTTTTTACCAATTCATCCAGCGTGAAACACGCATGTTTATCCGACTGAATGCGATGCAAGCCACACAGTTCAGAGTCTTTGAGAGATGAGAGACTGACAAGAAACACCTACGTGAATATAGAAACTCAAGCAGAAGTCCAAAAAAAGCTACCAGTGAAAGCGGAACAGGTGGAAAAGCACAAAGCCAAAGCGAGGCACTTGAAATAGTTCTGTATGGATATGTGAAGGCGTTAAGCAGTCAAACTCTTCTTCGGTATCCACAGCAGTTGATCGAATCTGGGAGAGAATCATGGATCTCACTGTGAGGAGGAAATCTGTGGATAAAAATCAGTAGCTAGAGTCAAGAATTTCATCCACAGTTCAGTTCGAAAAGAAAACACCTGACGTTCATGAGGGCTTCTGCAGGAAATAGTTGTGTTTTGATAAAATACACCGTTTTGACCAGTTGTTTGTTATTTTACATCAAAACTTTGGCAGATAAGAATCTGGAATTGAACTGACACCTGAAACAAAGCCACAGATTTCACCAAATACTGTGAGGCAAAAGTAATTTTTGTTCTTGGAACGCTCCTCCTTGTTGGTCTCTCTTGACCAAACATTCAATCTCCCCAATTATCCTTCCATCGCTTTGGAATAAAACATCGAACGTCGCGCAGCCACGTACATGCAGCATTTACTGATTTAGGAGTAATTTGGATGTAGTCCCAGAAATGCGCTGGTGGAAGTGGCCTTGATAAAAGCGTGAGAGCAAGCACAGAAGCGTAATTTCATGCTGAATTCCCTGAATTAAGCACATCAATGTGGACAGGAACAGAAGGAGTGCTGTACTACAACATTTCACTTCAAGCACAAATTGACTTTTTTTTTACATACTGGAATTAATTTGTTTTCACACTCCACAATAGACTTGAGATATGTTTGGACTTCTTGAGTTTTTTAGTTAGGTAGGATGAAATGGACTGTTTGAAAAGCAGAAAAACTGAAATTTTTTAAAGCCATGAGAAAGACTTGTGCATGTGTCTCTGAACCAGAAATGCTTTGAACTCAGCAGTTCTCCTACTGTGAACCTGAGTGCGTTCGTTAAACTCGTTGGACTGCGAAAGCTAACCGAACTGTCTGTGGGGATCTGGGATATGCTGCTTGGCTGAAGAAGCACAGAGTAGGTGATCTGAGTGGGTTCGTGGCCTGAAGGTGTGCGGGTTCAGACGTCAGGATGGGGTGTAACATGTGTGTGGTGCAGAAGCCCGAGGAGCAGTGCAGGGTCATGTTCCAGGTAAGAATCAAAGCCAAAGCTGTTTCCTATCTGTCCATAATCCTACTGACTGAGGGGTAGAAACTTGCTCTGAATGGCCTGATACACACATCAACACAATTTTTTTCTCCTTCCACTTTTCTTTGATAATATATAGTTTTTTCGATCTTAGCTTATTGCTAATACATGAGGATCTAAGGCTAGGTTCACACTGCAGGCAAATGTGGCCCAGTTTTTTCTCACATGTGACATCTGTTTTTCTCATGACAGTGAACCGCACAAACCACATGGAATCTGATCTTTTCAGTTCTGATTTGTGCCACTTCCATATGTGTTACTAAATCCAATACAGGTCAGATGTTTTGCAAATTGACTGCAGTCTAAACTAGAGCTGTCAAAAAAAAAAAAAAAAAAAATCAAAGTTCAAATATTCGGCGAATTTTAAATAAAAATCACATTCTAATGCAAAAATACGTTGCATTTGAATTTTAGGTGTGCGTCAGGCTGCCTTATCAGTGGCACACAAGATGCGATGACGATGTAAGTGTCATTGCATTTGAATGTTTTTCTTATCTTATCCAGCTGAACCCACTAGATGCGGCGCTGCTGGTTGTCAATTCAAAATATTGTGGAAAAAGAGAACATCAATGCGGAAAAGATGTTGTTTACGTCAAAACTCAAACCAAGCCGTTCACACAGAATGCATATGTATCGCATTTTCTGGACTAGAGGGACGTCTATCACTGTTGCACTCGCGTCTCGCACAAGAGAAACGCATGTTTAGAAAGCCATGTAAAATGAATGCAAGTTCAACTTTTAAAAAACATGTCTCGAGACATGTCTCCCATCTCACTGCATCTAATGTTTTTAAATGAAAAAGGACTATTTGTGATTGGTTTTCGGTCTTTTGTATTAAACTATACATACATACATGATGCTGTTTTGTTTCAAATCGTTTAAGCAAATTAATTATTTATATATGGTTTAAAAACATTAATTTAAACATGATGCACTTTTTTTTAAAGATAGTCGTGTTATGTTATTGCTTTGAAGAAACGTGCATTAGTAATACTTTGCTGAAATTATGCCTTTTAAATTAGAAAATAATTCGAATATTGATAATATTTAAAGGGGTCATATGATGTTGCTAAAAAGAACATTATTTTGTGTATTTGGTGTAATGAAATGTGTTTATGCGGTTTAAGGTTCAAAAAACACATTATTTTCCACATACTGTACATTATTGTTTCTCCTCTATGCCCTGCCTTTCTGAGACGTGTCGATTTTTACAAAGCTCATCGGTCTGAAAAGCGAATTGTGCTCTGATTGGCCAGCTATCCAGTGCATTGTGATTGGCCGAAGACATGGCGGCGGCAACAACAATACTACAGCGAGAATAAAAGTTACTCCTTCTTTCTTTGCGTGAACATTTGGGCGGGGTTATGCAAATCTTCCCACATCGTGACATAGACATGTGGGGGGGGCGTGTTAGAACGAGGCGTTTTAGGTAGGCGTGGTTGACTCTTAACTTTTATAAAGAATATCTCTTTGGATTTGAGACTTTAGTCTTTGCAACTTTACAGATCTTCTTTATGCACCAAGAGCTTGTAACACTCCAAAGAGAAAGGACAATTTGAAATCGCATCATATGACCCCTTTAAGTACACAATTCGAATTTAGTTTTTCAACCATTTTGACAGCCCTAGTCTGAACAGTCATACTGGAATTCATGCGACTTTTATGTCACTCTAGATCAACATTTGTCATGATTCTGCGCTCATGGGAGTCACTTCGAAGATTTTACATACCCAAAGTTCTATCATGACCACTCTCGGAAGATTTTAGCATGGTGATGGATATGACAATGTTAATGGCATGAGGACTCATATCATAAAAGTTTCAAAACTCTGCTCTCTTATTTCATATCCTTGTCTTTATTTTTCATATTGCCTGTGCATAATTTCACTGGTCCTGCGGCTTACTTTATGTCCTCCTTGTTTATTTCCATATGACAGCACAGTGTGCAAGTGTTGCCAAGTCCCCAGATTTCCTGTGAAATTGGAATACAACCGTGGGTTGTTTTTCAACTTTGTGGGTTGAAGCGACCCCACTAACGCGATATTTACCCTACAGGATGCGATTGGGCTAGTTTTGTTGTAGTTTTGAGAAGCTTTTGGGCAGATTTTGTTGTAAAAACCTGGCAACCCTGTTCATATCATTCTTTTGCGCTGCACTGATGTGGGTCAGTTCAGAACCATGATCCATTCACACTGGAAATCTGATATTGGCCACATTTAAAACAAAAATGTGAACAGCTATACAAAAAAATCAGATTTGAGCAAAAATCTAAATTGAGCACTAAGGCTTGCAGTGGGAACGTAACCTAAATAAGCCACCAACCCTTGACCAGGATTAGTCAACAAAACAACAGAACAGCCTAGAAACCACAATGCAACATGCTAAAAAAAAAACAGAATAACTCTGTTAACACACTTAAGTACACTTTTAAAAAGAGCATGTTGTGATGATGTCAAACTAAAAGTTACATTAAGGTACATTAAGGTTTAATGATATTTTGAGTTTTAAAAAAAATATACTTATGAGGGATCATAAACGCGCACAGGCAGACCAGCGTCTAATCAGCGATTAATATGAGAGACACCGTTGGTGGAGGATTGAATGCAACGCTGTCAGATTACCTCATGTCTCAGTCACTGCTGAGAAAACATTACACTACAAAGCGCATAATATTACAATAATAACGCCTTTCATTCTCACTGGAACGTGCTGATGACGTATCATGTTTGCGCAAACAGGCTGCGCAGAGGTATGCTAATACATATTTTGACAGGAAGGCAGGACAGCCTATCGTAATGTTCGGACCGAACATTTTCATTGGTCAAACATTTTATGCTCCTACACCTCCCGCAAATGATATAAATACATATCAATAAATTTAGACCACTTAACTTAGTGATTGCTATTGGGATGTGAAGAGACTTTCAAGCAGCATAACAAAAAATGTTTTTGAACCAAATCACCTACCCTGCCTTTAATTGTAAATAGCATGCAATTAAGTGTCTAAAAACATTACATTCAGTTCATACTTAAAAATAATATGCTTCAAAGGAATAGTCTTATGTAATGAGTACTCTTTTTGAAACTACTGTATGCTAAAGCCAGTCGAGCCACTCGATTTAAACACATTTCAGCTTTTCTATAGTAAACCTACAAATTCATGTGAATTACTTATAAGGGTTGCACTACATCTACGTCTTTGCTGGGTTAAACTTAGCAATAATGCAATGTAAACATTTTTGTCAACGTGATCATTATTATTATATGTATATTTACTTGAGTAACTTTTAGCAAGGAACGGCCTTTAGTGTGATATTTGCAGTCTCTAATAATCATGTCCCCACAGGTTTTTTATTCTCTGTCTGTGTCTGTGTTTTTCTCCTGTTTGTTTGTTTGTCTTATTTTAATAAGATTTAATGAGCTTTATTAGCCCGGCTTCCTACAAATATCAAAACATCCAAGCCAATCAAAACATTTCATTTTCAGACAACTTCATGGAAGTAGCAAAAATGTCTCTGTGGCTTTGACTTACAACTCTTTTGGGCTGTTAAATATTTTATTTGGGTAATAAAAAATACACAACAAAGACTAGCAGTGAACTATTGAATCTGGTGTCAGAAACTATAGGGGTGACTTTGAGGAAAGCCATTGCTACAGTATGTGCTTTTCTGATTGCGATTCATTAGCATTTTTATAAATGATTATGTTTGGGGGTACTTTTAAATGAAAACTGTATTGTTACATCCAGAGAATGTATGCTCAATTCATGTGCTAGGTGGCAGCTTGCATGTATCATCGATAGAAAGTCTTGTCAAGAAGAGACCACCAATACTAATAAAGCCAATTAGCAGAACAGCCCAACCTTTAGCCCAAGCGCTAACAGGCTGCACAGAGAAAGAGAGAGAGAGAAGTGTGCAACCATCTAATTACCAACATCATAATTATTTAAGCATACAGATTATTGATTGATACCAGAGGAGAACAATATCTAGTGTGGTATTTACAGAGAGCTAAGCGCTGTTTTCATATAACATGGTTATATATAAAAAGAAAGAGAGTGTCTTAATCTCCACATGGAAAGACGTTTTTTCAAAGGCACAAAATAATAAAAATTATAATTATGTGTGTAATTTATTTGATGAAAAAAAAACTTTTATACAAGCAAACGCAACTATTAATAAGCTATGTGTGTATATATAGGGAAATAAATCATCATATCTGATGCTGCTATTATTGTGGCTGTTCTGAGCAATATGTTGTCTGCAGTACTCGAACCAGCAGCTATTTTTCCTGGGAAATTGGCAAACAGGTCTAAATCCATAATGGACCTGCGTCTTAGTTATGCCATTCGACAAAGGTCAAAATAAATGAGGAAGAGTGTTGTGAAAAATAGGCTACAACACCATAATAACATGCATTCTTCTCAGAGGTCAGCTGAGTTAAGAAAAGCAGTGGGTCATTTGCTCTGAATCTTTTTCAGCGGTTCTGTGAGAAAAACACAGTCATGTTCAATTCAGACGAGATTGAAATCACAAATTGCATTTGTGAAAGACAAATTTACCTGACCTTCATTGGGGAAACTGGCCCCGTCTGAATAGAGTTTTTCTCCCTAATCACATTCAATACAGATTGCAAACTTACATGAGCAAAAAAATGTAATAAAAAACATTTTTGCTGGTGGCAAGTGACCAATTTTAATGTCCACATAAAATCAACATTGACCCTATTTACTTGCGTACTTGTGCACATTACTAGTCTTGTGGTAAAAAAAAAAAACAACAACACATACCTACAAATTAATAGTTTAGTAATAGCTTTTACTACTATGTTCTTGCATTAACAAAAGAAATAAATAATTGTTAGGTACAATGTACTTAGTGTGTTCATGTTATACTGCAAACACTTTTGCTGCCATTGAGGTGGGCTGATAGGTTTATGGATGG